ACTTTCGCAGCTGGGGCTCGAAAATCGCGACTTTTTAGTACGAAAGTAGTACGCGAAGTCCACTTTCGTAGCTGGGGCTCGAAAATCGCAACTATTAACTACGAAAGTAGTACGTGAAGTCCAGTTTCGCAGCTGGGGCTCGAAAATCGCAACTTTTAAGTACGAAAGTAGTACGCGAAGTCAACTTTCGGGGATTGAACATCGCAACTTTTAAGTGCAGAGAAAGATGGGTAGATAGATAGATCAATAAACAGATATAGAGATTGCTAGAGAGATAGATAGAAAGAGAGAGAAAGAGACAGAGAAACAGAAAGAGAAAGAGAAAGAGAAAGAGAAAGAGAGAAAGAGAGAAAGAGAGAAAAAGAGAGAGAGAGAGAGAGAAAAGCAAGGGGCCAAGGACAGTTCTCCAAACTATAGTTGTTCACTGCTTTGAAACTTCCGCCCCCCGGCTCTGCCGGACCTTACTGGTACTGGAACTAAGTGAGCTAGCTGCTTTGACATATAGCTATGACAGGTAGCTAGCATGACAAATAGATAGCTTTGACATATAGCTAGCTTGACAGATAGATAGCTTTCCAATAGGCTAGCATGACAGATAGATAGCTTTGACATATAGCCAGCTTAACACATAGATAGCTTTCTCAAGTATCGATTTCGTGGCAGGCGCAGCACTTTCGCAAGCACTCTCTGCGAGCTGGGGGATGGCAAGATGCAGACAACGTTGGCGCTGTGCGTGAATTGGGCTTCCGGACAGTGCGCAAACCACCTCGGCTGCGACGCCTGTACGGAGGCGGGTGCGGAACGGGTTCGGAACTGTCTCGGAGACGGGACCATTGGCACGGCCGCGCGAAGGTTTCGCAAGGTTTGAATTGCGTGGCAGGCGCAGCACTTTCGCAAGGTCAAGTGTAGATTTCGTGACAGGCGCAGCACTTTCGCAGCACTTTCGCAAGGTCAAGTATAGATTTCGTGGCAGGCGCAGCACTTTCGCAAGCACTGTCTGCGAGCTGGGGGATGGCAAGATGCAGAAAACGTTGGCGCTGTGCGTGAATTTGGCTTCCGGACTGCGCGCAAACCACCTCGGCTGCGACGCCTGTACGGAGGCGGTCTCGGAACGGGTTCGGAACGGTCTCGGAGACGGGCCCATTGGCACGGCCGCGCGAAGTTTTCGCAAGGTTTGAATTGCGTGGCAGGCGCAGCACTTTCGCAAGGTCAAGTATAGATTTCGTGGCAGGCGCAGCACTTTCGCAAGGTCAAGTATAGATTTCGTGGCAGGCGCAGCACTTTCGCAAGCACTCTCTGCGAGCTGGGGGATGGCAATATGCAGAAAACGTTGGCGCTGTGCGTGAATTGGGCTTCCGGACAGTGCGCAAACCACCTCGGCTGCGACGCCTGTACGGAGGCGGGTGCGGAACGGGTTCGGAACGGGCTCGGAGACGGGACCATTGGCACGGCCGCGCGAAGGTTTCGCAAGGTTTGAATTGCGTGGCAGGCGCAGAACTTTCGCAAGGTCAAGTGTAGATTTCGTGACAGGCGCAGCACTTTCGCAAGGTCAAGTATAGATTTCGTGGCAGGCGCAGCACTTTCGCAAGCACGTCTCTGCGAAGCTGGGGGATGGCAAGATGCAGAAAACGTTGGCGCTGTGCGTGAATTGGGCTTCCGGACTGTGCGCAAACCACCTCGGCTGCGACGCCTGTACTGAGGCGGTCTCGGAACGGTCTCGGAGACGGGCCCATTGGCACGGCCGCGCGAAGGTTTCGCAAGGTTTGAATTGCGTGGCAGGCGCAGCACTTTCGCAAGGTCAAGTATAGATTTCGTGGCAGGCGCAGCACTTTCGCAAGGTCAAGTGCCAAATTCGTGGCAGGCGCAGCACTTTCGCAAGGTCAAGTACAAAATTCGTGGCAGGCGCATCACTTTCGCAAGGTCAAGTACAGAATTTGTGGCAGGTGCAGCACTTTCGCAAGGTCAAGTGCAAAATTCGTGGCACGCGCAGCACTTTCGCAAGGTCAAGTACAGATTTTGTGGCAGGCGCAGCACTTTAGCAAGGTCAAGCACAGATTTGGTGGCAGGCGCAGCATTTTTGCAAGGTCAACTTTCGCAGCCGGGGCTCGAAAATCGCAACTTTTAAGTACGAAAGTAGTACGCGAAGTCAACTTTCGCAGCTGGGGCTTGAAAATCGCAACTTTTAAGTACGAAAGTAGTGCGCAAAGTCCACTTTCGCAGCCGGGGCTTGAAAATCGCAACTTTTAAGTACGAAAGTAGTACGCAAAGTCCACTTTCGCAGCTGGGGCTCGAAAATCGCGACTTTTTAGTACGAAAGTAGTACGCGAAGTCCACTTTCGTAGCTGGGGCTCGAAAATCGCAACTTTTAACTACGAAAGTAGTACGTGAAGTCCAGTTTCGCAGCTGGGGCTCGAAAATCGCAACTTTTAAGTACGAAAGTAGTACGCGAAGTCAACTTTCGGGGATTGAACATCGCAACTTTTAAGTGCAGAGAAAGATGGGTAGATAGATAGATCAATAAACAGATATAGAGATAGCTAGAGAAATAGATAGAAAGAGATAGAGAAACAGAGATAGACAGAGATAGATAGATTTGTAGATAGATAGACAAATAACTAGCTAGATAGATAAAGAGATAGAGAGATAAATAAATAGAGAGGTAGATAGATAGATAGGAGATAGAGAGGTAGATAGATAGGTAGATCTATAGATAAATCGCAACTTTTAAGTACGAAAGTAGTACGCGAAGTCAACTTTCGCAGCTGGGGCTTGAAAATCGCAACTTTTAAGTACGAAAGTAGTGCGCAAAGTCCACTTTCGCAGCCGGGGCTTGAAAATCGCAACTTTTAAGTACGAAAGTAGTACGCGAAGTCAACTTTCGCAGCTGGGGCTTGAAAATCGCAACTTTTAAGTACGAAAGTAGTGCGCAAAGTCCACTTTCGCAGCCGGGGCTTGAAAATCGCAACTTTTAAGTACGAAAGTAGTACGCAAAGTCCACTTTCGCAGCTGGGGCTCGAAAATCGCGACTTTTTAGTACGAAAGTAGTACGCGAAGTCCACTTTCGTAGCTGGGGCTCGAAAATCGCAACTTTTAATTACGAAAGTAGTACGTGAAGTCCAGTTTCGCAGCTGGGGCTCGAAAATCGCAACTTTTAAGTACGAAAGTAGTACGCGAAGTCAACTTTCGGGGATTGAACATCGCAACTTTTAAGTGCAGAGAAAGATGGGTAGATAGATAGATCAATAAACAGATATAGAGATAGCTAGAGAGATAGATAGAAAGAGAGAGAAAGAGACAGAGAAACAGAAGAGAAAGAGAAAGAGAGAAAGAGAGAAAGAGAGAAAAAGAGAGAGAGAGAGAGAAGCAAGGGGCCAAGGACAGTTCTCCAAACTATAGTTGTTCACTGCTTTGAAACTTCCGCCCCCCGGCTCTGCCGGACCTTACTTGTATATATATTTAAATGTTTGCCCTACAACGGGTCCGCCCGCAGGAGGCTTTCTTAATATCTATCCTATCTTTCCTATTTGTCCTATCTGTCGCATCGTATCTGTCTCACTATCTTGTTCCATCTTATCTACATGATCTATATTATATGCCTTATCTACCTTGACTATCATACCTATCATATCTATACTAGCTATCTTATCTATCTTGCCTACCTTATCTTATCTTATCACACATTGTCCTGTCTTATCTTCTATCTTATCCTGTCTTTTCCTGTCTTATCCTATCTTCTCCCATGCTATGTATCTATCGATTTATCTATCTATCTCTCTATCTAATCTAATCCAATCTAATATAATCTAATTTATCTATCTATCTATCTACCTACCTACCTATCTTACTTCTATGACCGCTGGGGCTCAAAACACAAGGCCAGTAGGCATACTAACAACGGAAACTCGCAGCGAACACCTGCGAACATTGCGAAAACGCGAAAAGCGCGAAACCGCGAAAACCGTGAAAACCGCGAAAGCCACGAAAACGCTAACATGAGAAAACGCGAAAAACCACGAAAACCACGAAAACCGTGAAAACCACGAAAACCACGAAAATGCGAAAACCACGAAAATGCGAAAACCAGAAAACGCGAAAACCACGAAAACCGCAAAACCGCGAAAACCGCGAAAACTGCGAAAACCGCGAAAACTGCAAAAACTGCGAAAACCGGAAAAAAACAAAAAACGAAACCCGCGAAAACCACGAAAACGCGACAACCAGGTGAAAACCACGAAAACGCAAAAACCGTGAAACGCCAACATGGGAGAAAGGTGAAAAGGCGCAAGCTTCAAGAACGAACGCCTTGAGAGCCAGCAACGGAGCTGTCTGGTTTTCTAGGTTTTCTAGGTTTTCTAGGTTTTCTAGGTTTTCTCGGTTTTCTCGGTTTTCTCGGTTTTCCGATTTTCTCGGTTTTCTCGGTTTTCCTGTTTTCTCGGTTTTCTCGGTTTTCCAGTTTTCTCGGTTTTCCAGTTCTCTCGGTTTTCCGGTTTTCTTAGTTTTCTCGGTTTTCCGGTTTTCTCGCGCGAATCCGGTTAGCTCCGTGTCGCTCAAGACGATTGCTTAGTACTTACATAGATAGATAGATAGATAGATAGATAGAAAAAATCATATAGATACATTTAGAGATTCATTGATTTATTTGTGTGCGCGTGTGTAGCTGTACGTATGTATATCACCAATCTTCCTACCCACCCACCCACCCACCCACCCACCCACCCACCCACCCACCCACCCACCCACCCACCCACCCACCCCTCCCACCAACCCACCCACCCACCCATCCATCCATCCATCCATCCATTCATCCATCCATCCATCCATCCGATCTTATAGCATATTGTATTCTGTATTATCTTGTCCTACCGTATCTTGTCGTATAAATAATATAATAGTCTCCCTGTTTTGCGGTTGATCCATCGACTCAACACATGCAATAACGAATTTATGTGTCGGAGCTCGACTTGTTTGGATGCCCTCCCACTGGGTCGCCCTCTTTCTGCCTGACCAAGGCTCGTAAGTGCCTGAGTAATTGCTGCACCCACCTGGCCGAACACAACACTGGGCTAGCCCAGCGTTGCCGAAACAACTCGCCAGAGACGCACACGTGGAATCCCAACACGCACATCTCGGCAGAGGTTGCCACATGGGGTGGGGTCGAAGCTGGGACCCTTTGCACCCTGGTGACGTTTTGCACCCCGTCCATGCCTTGAAAGGTGATGCCAAGTGGTTGCACAGTTCAGCCCCAACCACAATAAATTCACCCTTTGTAGCCATTTTTTTGGCTTGCTTGAAGTCCGCTTTGTGAACCGACCTGACCAGGTAACCAGGGCCAGTGGGCCAAAACTAGCTGCCACATTCCGGAAGACAAGACCTTTTCACAGGACCAAGTGCACCAAGCGCACCAGGATGGGGCCGACCCCCTGCAAACAAACCAAATATTGTTTAAGCAACCCGTGTGTAGGGGCTCAGGGGCTGATTGATTAAACATGTTGCCGCAATCTGACGTGCACCTTTTGCCTGACTAGGTCGGGCTTGTGTGTGTGGGAGGCGAGGTGCCTAGGCAGCCAAACCAAATCTCAAGCAATCTGGGGCCCCGCGGGCAGACACCCCACATTGACCCACGCACATCCCAGATTCACAGCAGCAATGCTGAGCCTTTGAGCCCCAACAGCATAAAGGGAGCCCTTTTCGGGTTCACTATTTTGCACGGAACTCACCAGCCAAAAGGGACTTGGAGGGCTAAACAGCTGGGACCTGTTAGGTACCAGTGGCCTGCAAGCACCTGTAACCCGCAGCTTTCCCTGCCTGCTGTTTCGCCTCGCCACTCAGAGGTGACAAAGATGCGCTGCCAGCCGTCCGACTTGTCCATGATGCGGCAAATGTACCTGCAAGAGGCCCCCCTTCAGCTTCTTACCCACTTATCCAACAGAAATTGCAATCGAGGAGGCCGGTGCGCGCAAAGTGTTCGTGGCCACACCCCAAAAATAGATTCCTCTGTCCGTGTCATTTGGGTGGGAGATGCGCGCTGAAAAACGCGTATTTGGAGGCAAACGGAGCCACAAACAAACAAAGCAACAAGCGAGCAAGCAAACAAACACACAGCCGAACCGAACCTAGCCAAACAAAATGTTTGAATAAATCAAAACAAGCCAACAAACAAACAAGCGAACATACAAACAAACCAAGAAACAACTAAGCAAACAAACAAGCGAACATACAAACAAACCAAGAAACAACTAAGCAAACAAGCAAACCGAACAAAAAAAACAACGGAACAGAACAAACAAAGCAAAAACACAAAGAAGCAAACAGGCAGGCAAGCAAGCAAGCAAGCAAGCAAGCAAGCAAGCAGGCAGGCAGGCAGGCAGGCAGGCAGGCAGGCAGGCAGGCAAACAAGAAAACAAGCAAACAAGCAAACAAACATAAACAAACTAGCAAACACACACACACACACTAACGAACAAAGCCACGTATCTTGAGCTGAGTTGCACGACGCGGTAGTGAAGCACAAAGTCTTCAAAAGCCATCCAGAAAGTGCCATCGTCTTTGTTCACGTAGCCCTGGTGCCAGGTTCAGAACAGAACAACCACATGGCTTGCCTCGCATCAGTGCTCATAACTGCGTGATGGCATTGCGCGCTATCATGCTTGTGGCCAAGGAATCTGGCCGGCTGAGGGTCCCTGCTTGCAATATTGACATGTGCCGAGGGATCACCAAACAGAATCATCTAACTGAAACGGGAACTGATAGTTGCCCTACCTTTTGTTCCTCACCTACACCGAGACGGATTGGAACCCCAAGCGTGTTGCAAGCGCAAACCTCATACCTGGCTCTCAAAGGCCATGGTGCCAAATGAATCAGACATTACTTTGGAGAAAGCGACATGGTCCAAGGGGCTGCGCAAAAAGCAATGTCCAAAAGGGCCAAAGGGGGCTCCTCACTGCAATGGCCCTTTGGGCAAGATTCAAACCTGAGTGCTCTTGGCATCTCTCATCCTGACCGTTCACATCCTTGTTTACAGCAGTGCCCACTACGTTTCGATCCAGGGCGAGGAGCCAGCTTTTTCCTCATCTTTTGCGTCCAGCTCTCCTCATCGCTGTCCTCAGAGGCGGAGTGCCGGAGCCAGGAAGATGTCAACTGTGTATGTTCCCACATCGTTACCCATGAGAAGCACTTAGGCTCGCCTCGCCTAAGTATGGTGAGAACCAGCCCAAGAGTCCCCTGCAGGGCAGGAACCAAAATACATCTAAATACCATCTGCAACTGATGGGGAGTTGTTCAGCTGTTTGCTGACCGCCTATCGGACAGAAGCTGCCCTCTGTTTGAGAGTCGCTGTGCGCAGTGTGCATGTTGTGTGGGAAATCAAAACGACAAACCAGTGACCTGCAAACTCAGGCACCGCTGAGCACGAAAATGTTCAACGGCGAGACATCTTAGCCCCCGGCGCTCCACTTCCCCTTCCACTCTGTGTTGCCTAGGCCGGACATTTCGGCTTCGAGAACCCCCCCTAGTTCCCCCCCTTCCTTTGCCAACTCAACACCAAAAAGCTGGCTGGCGTGGCAAACCAAGCAATCAAGTGTAACGTTTCAACCTTGGGTTGCTTATGCTTCCCGCGTCTTGAAGCAACCACCCATCCCCGGCTGTAAATTCGGAAGCCTTCCATTGGGATGCCTCAAACGGACACCTGCGCACCACAAGACGCCAGCCCCGGGAACTCCATAGGTTCCCAGCCCCCCTCATGTCCGCTCCTCACATGGCGCGATCAATTTCAGCCGTGGCGCCCCAAGGATTGCGCAGCTGAACCAGGCGGTGCCCGTCCACCTCAAGGCACACTGCCAGCGACAAAATCAGCCAAGAGCCTTCTCGAGTGGCCTCCGCGTCTACATCTCCATACAACTCCCCAATCCGCTGAGACCATAACTTGCCGTTGCCAAGCTTGGGTGACCGTCTTGCGGAAGTACATTGACATCTGATCGAATGATTGAACGGCTCAAATTGGAAAACCTGCGGCTGTGCCTCCTCCACTCGCAGCAAGGAGTAGGCATGACCCTTCCTTGGTGTGTCAGCCCTGGACAACAACAGGCCCAGCGTCTTGCAGGCACCTTGTAAAAACAAGGCGGGCGCATAGTGTTGAAAGGCCAATGCCACATCCACGGATCCACCCGAAGACAAAGCAAACAGCAACCAGTCAGGCCCAAGGCGCACGATGCCCATGTCACCTGGGCATTTGCACCATGGCACCATGGTCAATGTTTCCCTGTTGCATTCCCTCGACAGCTACACGTACATGAATCTGAAAAGACCGGTTTCGCGAAAGGCTTTGGGCGCCCTGCTGATGTCGGTGTCCTTGCCGGAGCCGGATCCGCAGCCTTGCAAGGCTATGGAAACCCCGAAGGCTTCAAGTGCAAGGACGCCAGCCAGTAGGACCTGGTGAACCTCGATCAAAGGCTGAAGGAGGCAGCACAGTTGATACGGTATGGTGGGGAAGCTTTATGCTCCCTCAGTAAGGTTGGCTCGTACTTCATGGTTCGTTACAAATGGGGCAACTAGCACATGCCCAGCCATGAAGTGCCCTGCGACTCGAGTCCTCCAATCCTCCCCTGACAAATCCGATGCCCTTCCCTTCGGCACTGCCTAAAAGGTGGCCGTCTCGGCTGAGGCCCTTCAACTTCGCCCACATGGTGCCGTCGTTGATGTCCTAACAGCCAACACTTCGCCTACACTTAAGCATGATTCCAGATGACCCCGACCCTCCCGCCGCCCTGTCAAAACGGGCTAGGGGACGGTGTGGGCAACAAAAACGCAATGAAACACCAGCCCAGCGACAATGACTAATATCACTGATGACTATATTATAGTAACTCAGAACAACAGCTTAAAAACACAACAGCCAGCCCAAAGAGTCTAATTACATCTCCAACCGCAAGCCCTGGACTAGCTGTCAGCCCTGAGGAAAACACGTGGCTAGAAGGGTGTGGAGCTACCACCAGGTCCCTCAGTGGATGGACAAAATCCCGCACCAGTTGGTAGGTGGCGTATTTGTTTCTCTTGGTACGGCTTCATCCATCCCCACTCCTGCAAGATCTTACCCATCCGCAGTATGAACCTCTCTCGTCCACTCCTTCTTGGCCTCCTTGTCCTGAAGGTGGATCTTCCCACCGATGCCTCCTAGACGGGAGGCAAATTGAATACATCAGCATCTTCTTAGAAAGGAGTCCGAGGCAATCGGCACAGGCCGACTCATGGCAACCCACGCCACCCTTAGATCAAGCTCCTGCAACCCCCAGGTCCTGTGGCTTGAGCTACCGGAGCAGGTGAGGGGATCCCTACTGGCAAGGGGGGCATCTGCTATCAAGGTTCAAGACCGAGGTTCCCAGAAAGCCGGGACGTGCCGCAGATGTCCAAACGGCTCCCCCTTGGGTGGTTTGCAGTAATCTTCGGATCCAAGTGCCAAAAGCTCCAGGCGGGTCTCCTGTCATGTCCACGAGCGCATCGTTGACAAAACCGCCCTCAATGGCATCGAAGGAGCCATGGAGCTTGGCGTAGGCCTTCCTGAGCAATAACCAGCTTTAGGAAAGGGGAGTCCTGTAAAAACCGAACGCCAAACCGTGCCGCCTGGGGGCAGACTGAAAGGCGCTTGGCCATCTTGTGCCGTGGCTTGCGATTCAGCAGTGGGCCACCCAAAGGCGCTGTACGCAAATTCGGCAACCAAACTGCACCAACCAGCTCCAACTTGCGCAAAAAAGTAAGCACGTTCAAGACAGCGCCTTTCCCAAAACAACAGGGGCCAGGAAGCTAGACAATGGAGGGCGACTCACTGCAGCCCAAATCTCTGCGCCGAGGCGCTCCAAGACTTGCACCCAAACCTCGCCCCTCTTGCCGCTGGAGGCAAAGGCGCACTGGTGATACTTGGTGGGGAAGAAGTCATCGATAGTCACGTCCTGGTTGAGCAATAGGTGCCGCAACCCTCCCCCCTCCTTCTTGAGCAAGCTCGAAATCCCAGAGCTAAGGTCATTTTCACGCGTTCGCATGGACTACGAATCACCCACTCACCCCTCCCCAAAGACTGCTTGCGTGACGGTGGTGGGCAGCATTCAAGGACACACACACACGCACACGCACAAAACCCTGGCTACGCAAACACCAACAAATGTTAAGACCCCTGCGCCCAAGCGTTTCCTTGGTCGACCTGGCTTGTGAGACGCACTCACAGCCTCTCCCCTGCGCGCTGCTGGCATCAGCAATTCAGTGTAACGAAATGACACACCCCATAACCAAAACGCGGGCAGAAGCAAGCAAGCAAACCAACAAGCAAGCAAGCAAGCAAGAAAGCAAGAAAGCGAGCGAGCGAGCGAAGGAAGCGAAGCGAAGCGAAGCGAAGCGAAGCGAAGCAAGCCAAGCCAAGCCAAGCTAAGCCAAGCCAAGCCAAGCCAAGCCAAGCCAGCAAGCAAGCAAGCAAGCGCAACAACTCGAGCTGAGAATTTCAGCCCGTCTCCAGGATGATCCTCGACAAAGAGTTTGCCAGGGATCCATGATGTCATGCTGCCAGCTGCAAGTTGGGCCAAGGGGATGGATTGAGCTGCCAGGGCCCTCAGGGAAGGCTAGTCCTGAAAGACACCATTCTTGTAGAAGCGCACGATGTAAAGCCCTTTGGCAGGATCGGAGTAGGTAAACCTAAGCTTCTTGCAAGCGTCTGGGCCAGCTATCTGCCATCACGCAAACGGACATGTGACATGGGTTTCCCATGTTGGCCATTTCCATCCACATGAACGGCTTGCTAGCCTTACTTTCTGACAACAAGACATGTGCCGTGGAAGACTGTGGCTTCCTAACTCCACGTGGCTTCCTAAGTGGCACAATAGGCAGAACACTTCGAACTTCTTCGAACCCCTTTCCTCCGGGCTGCAAAGCTTTCACCTTGTCTTCCCGCGCAGAGAGGCAGGCGATGGCCGAGAGGAACCAACAATCCCCCAGCTCTCCTGACCGTGCGAAGCAGAGATGCTGGACTTATTTTTACAGTTGGTCAGACGGGAGGTAAACATGGTGCCGGATATGGCTGTGGATTGGGCCCGTAATGGCCCGGGTTTTTTATTCATCACCCCCTCGCCCCGATGCACAAGACCCACATGCAAGAGAAGCTCCAGGATGCCCTACGTGTGACGTGTCCGGTTGCATTGTCTGCGGTGGCAGGGTACGTCCCCAGAGGGGAAAGCATTAAAGCACCTCATTTGCACACCAATCCAAAGCGCTTTCGACAAACAGTCAGTTGGACTGGTGGCCGGGACTTGCCTGCAAGACTTGGCTTATGAACCCTGAAGTTTCCGACTCTGGTTAGCAGCACCCCTTCCGCTGCATTTTGTCCTCTGCTGCCTGCTTTCCAATCTCAGCCAAAACCGGCAGTTTGCCTCGCCAATCATTTCACCCCGCAGCCCGCCTTGATGGATGTCGTTCGGGTGGCAGCCATCGTTGAAGAGAACCACCTGGCAAAGGAGAACGGCGGTCCTGGTGATTCCCCTTAGAAGACACCCATTTGATTCGTACTACTTGGTGCTCCAGCCTGCTCAGCCTCTACACTGCCTCTACGCTTCCACTCAACACACTATATTCTGACTTGTGGGGGCCAGGACCACGAACAATACTGGATGAGTCTTGAGTAGCCAGCTGGGGAGCTCAGGAAAGGGCTGTCCAGAACTCGCATCTCCCTCCTCTGTCATCTCGCTCCCTCCCGCCTCATCTTTCCCGACAAGCTCTCGTATCCGCTGAATCCTCAACTCTTGCTGGGCAGCTACCCACACGGCGAAAAGGAATCGCGGAGGCAACTCAACTCCCCTGATCCACTCCACAAGCCCTTCCCCACCCTCCCACCACCACCCCACAAAAACAAATGCGGCACAGTATCTTGTACTCGCTGCAGTTAGGCTTCTCGCCCATGGCCTGCGAATCTGGAACTGCTGAACCCTGCCTCCATCCACAGTATCACTACAGCGTGGCTTGACAAAAGTACACTTTGAGCTGGAAAAATAAACCCGTATTACCATGGTGGTGATGATGATGATGAATCACTGCGTCACTTGCGCTTCACTCGCGCTTCACTTGCGCTTTACTTGCGCAGCCCTATTTTTGACTTGCGCGGCCGTTCCTGCAACACCCCTTCAAATTACAAGCGGCGGTGCAGCTGATTTGATACGTCCAAAACAACTGGGACCATGCCTTACATTGACACATACAACGGGTTTTCTTTTTCGGCTCACTTCACTCTGCCAGTTGTGCAGGGAAAGGTTGAGCGTTTGACTGAAAGCGAGTCATCGGAAAACCAGCTTTCAAGGTTGCAACCCCTGCAACAACTGCCCTTCAATGGCAGCTACTTCGTGTCGGGTATCCTCGTGCAAGTTCCTGCCTCAGGGGTCCACACATTGTCCGTGAACTCCCCGTTCCGCTCCGCCACAGATCTGGCAGGCGGTACTGCTGATTGCTTGCGCAATGAATGAACCTCCCATAGTTGTTCATGTCACCTTCGCATGTCATGTGGCTGTGAAAATGCGGGGAAGAAGGACACCTTGAGCAACGCAATAATATGATATACCTTATTTCCTTGCCTATTGCGCCCCGCATGCATGAGGCAGCCACTTCTGACGAATTGCATTTTGCCTGCCTGACGTCGTGCAGCCTGCTTCTTCTACATGCTCTGGTCGCTACACAGTGCCCGTACAAATCAATGGCGCGTGCAATATCTGATTGAGGGAGTCAGTTCTAGGCACAGAAGAGCGCGCCTTCGGTATCATAACTGGGGAAGCAAAGTTTAAGCCTGCTCCGCAAATCGAGAGGCCAACTAATGCGGTCAGGGCGCTTCATGAGGTCGATGTTGGCCTCAACCACCTTTGGCTCGCCAGCCCTGGCCAAGGCTTGCCCAGGATTGAAAGTGCGCGCCAACCAGTTGAAGCGTTAGTACACACCATCTGTTGAAGTAACATCAACTTTCTGCGTTCCTTCAATAGGGGGTGACCACTGGGGGTGGTTAGCTGATGACACATTCAAGTGATGCCCTCGCATTTGCCAGGGCATGTCTCCTTTTGATTTGCTGGCACGCCTCAGTCCAAACACATAAAATGCTACTCGCGCACATGCCGTGCAAAGCCAGCCAAGTACCTACTGCCTGATGGCAGAAAGGGGCAAGTGCTCGCGGAAAACCCAAGCTAGGACCAACCAAGCAGTGTAATGATTTTGCCCCTCCTACACATGAAATGTACCGCAACGGGTAATTGGGTGCCAGTTGGTCGGGCGTCGCCTGACCAACATGCGAGACTAGCGTGCTGCTACCCGGTCATTTGCGCTGCGAGTGGTGGACCCCTGGATCCCACATGGATAACATCTCGCATCTAGTTTCCGCTTGACCCATCGCAGCCAGTGATATTAACCACACTTGCTCACAAAGGAAGGGCCCGCAAGCATAAGCTTACGCGCATCACGGAATCAATGTGAGTGCCTAACTGAGGGCAATGATGCCACTAAAATACTGGACTGAACGAAGCAAGCACGCACAAGAAGGCAAGCAAGCAAGCAACAGGCTCCTTCAACGGCAACGTCGTGACTTCTGCAAGGCCAGTGTAGCCTCGATCAAGATCATCCATGCTAATTAAAGCGCATAATTGCACATAACTGAGACTGTCCAACCTTCCAAATTCAACCACGCGTTTGTTGTCGTCTCCTAATCGGCGACATGCTTTTTGGTGGCCTCTGAACGGATTCTTGGCAATAAACAGCACATCGAACTGTTTGGATGATCCCCCTGAATAAGTCAAGCAGAGGCCAACAGACAGGTGCTTCCTATGACTCATGCCGGAATGCTCCATTGGTAATTTCTGCCAACTGCAGACAAATCCGAAGGCTCGTACAAACCGAAGAACTTTAAAAACTCTAAAATGGGAAAATGCCTTAGCTTAACAGTATGATTCTCCGGCCCATATTCATCAACCAGTAAACTCATCAATCCTGGGTTGTGCCCCGGGCCTCTTCTCAAGCTCCTCCGCCTCCTTCCGCTTCCTCTCCTCTTCCGCCGCTTTGCGCTTGCGCTCGGCCTCCTCTTCTAGCTGCCTGGGCTGAAGCGGAAAGCAGAAGCCCAAAAAGCGCGGTTGCCATTGGCTTGCATTCAAGCAGCCCACAGAAGGGGTTGCTGTTTAAAAGGCGCATAATTATCTAGACCTGATTTTGGAAGGTTGGTTGCAACCAGCGGCCCCAACAATGGCGGAGCCCTGGAATCACAGATGTCATCCGAAACCAAGGCGATTGAATTCACTGCCAAGCATCCTCAGCCGCTCGGCTTCCTTCTTCTTGCGCTCCTCCTCTTCTTCGTCTTTCATGATGCTCCTAATGTCGCTGATCCTTTGCCTTGCAGTCTGGATGAGGTCGCCTTGCCAGGGAAACCCGACCCAGCGGGCAAGCAGGCAGAAAAACTGCTTCATCTGCAAAGTAAAGCCGGGCACATCTGCTTCGTGGAATAAATTCACGGGCAAATGCACGTTTTCTATGT